TCCCCGGGGTTTTTTAATATATTTATAATGGGGTTGTAAGAGAAGAAAAATGCGAGGGTCTTGGCAGGGGCGGGGATTTAAAAAGATAAAAACCACACAAAGTGAGAGTTGTCACACTCTCTTTATGACATGTCTATTGGAGATTCTGAAGGAAGTTGCGAGTTTGGGTGAAAATTTGGTGGGGTGGCAAAAGAAAAAAATTAAAAGGGTGATACAGGAAAAGTAAGGTTTGAGGAAAAAAAAAATGGGTGAAAAGATTAAATTTCAGATTGGGGGAGAGAGTATGGAGGGGGTGAATGTATTGATATTTGGGAGTGGACGTGTCGCGGAGGGGTCTAAAAAAGATGGGGAATATAAAATTGATGGGGTGAAAAAGTGAGGGGGTGCACTTAGGAGTTGAGAGGAAAGAACTTTGCCTTTGAGGCAAAGAGGGGAATGTATGAGAGTAATTTTTAAACCAATGCTCTTGAATGGGGGAAGCAGGGGTGATGAATGTTGCGCGAGGAGAAGGCTGGGGGCATGGAGTGTCATGTCTGGGGGAAATGTGTGGTGTGAAAATAAGCGGAATTCGTATTTGGGGAAGCTAGGAGGAGGTTGGGTTTACCAAAAACTGTTGTCCAAAAGCTGAGGAAGGGTTGTGAGGTGGTTGGGAATTAAGAGAATGGAGCGAAACAGAATGACTAAAAGAGGTATCAGTTGTAGGGGAAAGGGGAAGGCGGAGTGGGGGTCGGCCAAGGAAAGGTTGGAGAGAGGGGTAAAGGGGTTTTGTGTGCGGGGGGGCTTGGATTTCCCCAGCGGGATGCGTGAGCGTTTTTTGATGGGATAAGGGGAGACAAATGTTTTAATATTTGACGTGCGTTGGAGGTGAGCAAAGTAACATTTATAAGGGGTTCGGGAAACCGCAGGCCGGACTTGAGTCCTGGAATGGGAAATACGTCCCTGCACCAAAAGGGGGGGTGTTAATGTTGCATTTTAAAAAAATGTATGAAAAGCACCCTTCTGGAAGCAGTGCGGGGGGAATGAGGTGAAAGTTTTTCTTTTTG